TTCACTGTCGCTTGCCTGAAGCTGAACTCAACCTTGGTTTAATTAATTAACCCATGTTTGGTTGTTAAGTTTGAATTAAGTTACTATGTTTACACCTAGCCTATGTTGGCATTGCATTTAAAAACTAGGCTTTTATGTAGAACAAAGACTCTTCTCTCATATGAAAGTTAGTTTTTATAAATGTTCAACACATTTTAATGGTGGATAATGGATTATGCTCACTGGATCTTACTATGGATTCCTTCACTTCTTAGGTGATCATTTTAAAAAAGATGCTGTGTTTAAATAGCTGAGCAAAACATTTACACTAAAAAGATTTAAAATCAAATTGAAGCAAATATGTTCAACAAAATCCATATATGTCAAGTCTTAGATCTCTGTAGAAATCCTCCACTGCAAATATTTTGTTGCAAACTTGGAATTTGTCATAACATTTGGCAATGTAAATATTGTCTGCAGGTTCCATTAGCTGTGTTTCTAGTTACTGTAAAATAATCTTACTCAGCATATTGTCATTTCGAGCCTTGAGATGAATTGTGTTTTGAACTTGTCAATACCTGCTCTAGGGAGTCAGGGTATTTGTCTTCACCTCACACCACTTTCCTTTTAATTAAAACAACATTTGTCTGCTATCCTGGTCTGGCAGGTATAGGGCAAATGTCATTCTGCAGAACAATATCGGGGTTGGCTTTGTAAACTGATGAATTGTACTGTCATTGGTCATGGCTTACTCTAGTCCATTCAGGTACCCACTCATCTAAGAGATTTTCTATCAGAACCCATAATTTTGCTCTGGTGCACCACTCTCTGGAGTTATGTTTACTGGATGCCCGCAAATGGACACTCAAGCTTCCCTAGGCAGAAACGTTGGCCCCCACTGAAATAGCTTAAACTTCTAGCAGGCGTAATTGTACTTGTTTGATATGGTATCCTTTTAAATTCATATTTGTTAAGGCATGATGTCAGAGTTTAGAATAGGACCCCATAAAGCCAGCAACTGGATTTTTAATGGTAGAATACTTCAGTGATCTTCTTTTTTATTTGTGGTTTTGTATAGTAACGATAACTGGGTGTGAACTGAGTGTGAAACATCTCTTTGGCTGTGTTTATATCTTCAACATTGCCAGCATATACATGGGGTTCAATGCCCTTGACAAAATGTAGTTTTTCCAGAGGTGTTACAAACTTACAACAAAGATGGGACATGGATGATAGAACCTATGAATGAAAAACTGAAATGAGGTTTCTAAGAATTAAAAAAAAAAACATAAATGTGGATAATCGAAGTGGAGCACAAAGAAATGGGGTGTGGATGGTACTAGCATGTGGCAGAATGAAGGGGCCACTTGGGGAGCAAACCCAGGAACTGTAGCTTGGTGTGGAAGGGCTGAGCTGTGTGTGCCCATTATAGCTTTGCCTATGCTTCTGAGCTAACCTGCTTCCCTCAGATAGACCAGAGGACTTTCCGTCATCAGTACTGAAGTAAGATTGCCATTTATTCCTGGCCAAGGCCTTTCACCCTTGCTGTGAAGCACTTGGGGCTAATTGTCCACCAGGCACCTTGAAGAATGGTGTAGGACCACAGTGGCCAAGTGTGGATGCAACACAACAGAGGGAGGCAGGATTTCTCTGAGCAGGAGCTCTGGAGTGGGGGCCCATCTCTTGCCCATCACAGGCCGTTCTGATAGATTTGTCTGATTCTAAGGAGGAGGAGCAAGGAGCAGTGAAGACTTTGAACTTTCAAGGTTACCTAGAGAATTTTCTCAGGTGTTGACCTGCTTCACAGGGGTGGAAGAATTTTCAGGAGGGCAGGGTGAGCATATGTAAGACCCAGTAAGGAGGTGATGGGAAAAATGAGCTGCCCCGTTAGAGGGTCTTCACTGTTCCCACCTTCTTGCTCCTAAGCGGCAAGAGCCACCCTGAGGATGGAGTCAGCAACTTTACTGAAAGGGAGGGACAGAGGGTAGGATTTCATTTTGGGTTCAACTCTTTACATGGCCAGATGCTTCTCCCTCAAGTTTGGTAGAAGGCTCCTTAGGGTTCATACTGTTTTGTAATTAGTTCAGTTTCAGTAAGAGAAATACAAGTCTGATATTCAAAAGGACCAGCTCACAACAATGATTCCTGGGTGTGAAGGAACATAGCTCAGATTTGAGAAAAACATCCTCTTTTCAAATATGTTGGTGCACGGCTAGTTTGTGTGACATATTTTTTGGAATAATCTCACTATCTGAGGGTATTTTCCTTTGGGGTAAGCAGGTTCCTTTAGAAAGTATCTGTTGGATTCAGCTTGTAATGCATATATTTTGCCAGTGTGTGGCATACCATTTGAGTTCTTCTAGAAGTTTCATTGAGTAATGCAGAGCACTGGCTCCTCAGGACTAGCTTGAAAGAAAGAAAAAGAAAGAACAAAAAGATTACATGCTTTCAGCACTGAGTGACAATCAGGCTTGTGAACTGATGAGGTGGCTGGATTTAAGGACTGATTAGCTGGTTAACATCTTGATCTCCTGGCTTCTGGCACTTCTGTCAGTGAAGAAAAAATAGATCTGGTTAGGTTTTTGCCTTGTCAACAAAATGAATAACTTGAGCAGTTATAAATGTAATTTCTTGACATGGTGTCATAAACAATTTATGCAACTCAAGTGATTATTTGGTATGACGTAAGTAGGCTTAAGTTGTGGGCTAAAATATAGATATAGTATCAATCTTACACAGAATATTAGATGAAAACCCCTCTAGTGGGGATTCCCCCACCCCATCTAAAGCTGGCAATACTCACAAGTCCATATGAGTGATGGTGTTCTCTCTCCAAATTAGTCATCAGAATGGATGCTTTCTCAGACAGAAGTCTGTTATTCTTATTTTCAGACCAGATAGGGTACAGAGCCAGGTTTATCTTGGATACAAAAACTAATGTATGGAGACACATGTCTTTATCTAAATAATCAGGGATGGGGAAGTCTGTAAAATATGACTTTATATCCAGCAGAAATAGGGAACAGTTAATAGAAGACTTTTTGGGTTGTTCACTTGCTTGTGCTAAGGGAGGAATGACGGGACCTTGTGTAGAGCCAAAAGACTCATTTGTATCTTAAGCCAAGATATGATTGTTTGTACTTACTCAATGTCTCTTAGGACATTTTTACACTTTAAGGATCTAGCAAAAGGAGAAGTACAAGGAAGGCTACATTTACTCACTTGGAGTAAACTCCATTGTACTAAGTAAGACTTGTTTCTGAGCAAACATGTATCAGATTGTAAAGTAAGCTTTTTTACTTAACTGTTAAGGGGTCATTATGCTACTGTCCAGTGGAAGATTCATGGGCTCTTGATGTGGATCATCTCATACACTTGGCACATTACATGACAATTTTTGTCTTTCCCAAACATGTGACAGAAATTTCAGCATAATATTGCTGTGTTATGTGGTAGCTTAATAAAACAGCCCTGAGGTTGATGCCAAATTAATCAAACAACCATTTTGGCCTCTGCTGTGGGCTGCATGCATCTGCCACATCCACATTTGCTGCTCACACTTCACCACAAGAACTGTTGTATGCACTCTGTGAACTGAATGGTTTGAATTCCATGTAGGACTGAAGTGTGTGAACAGTGTGTCCCAGGCAGACATTTTAGAATGTTTCTTTTACCCTTTCAGTCTTCCCTTTGCCTGCCATGCACTTGGCCATGCACAACACAATAAATGTGGGTCTGCTGGAACAAATGTTTGCTAAGACTAAAGTCTTGATTCTTCAGAGACCATTTCCTGGTATCTAATAATTACCTGACTGTAAAAAGGCAAACCCAACACTTAATCATGGACCAATGATGATCATTTGCCTGGATCTGATTATTATGCTGATAAATGTGAAATGCAAGACATTAAAACGAGAAGAAAACAAGATCTTCTTTCATTTGCCTTAAAGTTTAAAGGCTGCACTTTTGCAGCCCAGTTCCAGCAGCATAGGTGCCTTCCTGCCTAGTAAGACTATTAGGAAATCAAGAAATTGTATATAAGAATAACTATTGTATCCAAATAAGGACATAAATGTGCACTGGTTGTGTATACTATGAAAGAATATGGTACACAATGGGAGTGTACCCCATTGGGAAGTGCAGCTGTTCTTTAAAAAGTGAGATATCTCTGGAAATAGAAAGCAACGGTGCAGTGCAAAGTTCTTCCTTGTATGTACTATAGTCATAGTGAACTTGAAAAGGAACCATGACTTCACACAAACAGCAGATGAGAAGGAATGCCTGTTTCTGAACTATCATGTCCAGTTGCAGGTTAGAGCTCACATGACTGACTGAGTGCCCCAAAGACACAGGGACACAGGGACTTTCCTTATCATAAGTCAAGGCCATGGGTCCATTGGTCCCAGTACAGTCTACACAGATCTGGTTTGCATGATCAGTGGCAGCCACCATGGCTTAAATAAGCCACAGTGGGTTGCAGAACATGCTGGGCAGCACTGTGAATATTGAAGTTGTGCTAGGCAGTTCCTGTGACTTATTGTGATGTAAGAACCTGGACATGGTGGGTTGTTACCTTGGGTAACAAGCCACCCAGAAACTACGGGCTGTGGTAGTCATGCCAGCCAGCCCACTGACTAGCAGCAGCTCTTCAGGGATTCAGGCAGGTTTATTTTGTGCCCTGTCTGGAGATGTCAGGGACTGAACCTGAGACCTTTTCCCTGGAATAAAGGCATGCTGCGACTGAACTGTGGTTCTTTGTCTTAAGATAAGCCTCAGAACTCTCAACATAGAAAATTAATGGCTAGAGAGAAAACTTCTAGCCTGGCACACGCCACAGTGCTGCACCTGCTTTGTGGATCTAGTAATATGAGGTATTTCTGGTTTCCTAAATGCTTTAGATGCCTCTTATCCATTGGTAGTAAAACTAGAGAAATTTCAAGGGTTACAATGCATCTTCTTTGTGAACAGAGGAGCAAGGCTGGCACCTGTAGTTCAAAACACTCTTTTTTAAATTCCACCAGGTACGAAATCAGCACTGGAGCCTTATAATGGAAAGTGTAGTCCCATCGGACAAAGGAAACTATACCTGCATAGTGGAGAACATACATGGATCCATCAATCACACATACCATCTCGACGTTGTTGGTGAGTAAATTCCCAATGGCTACAAGTTATCATTTGAAAAATGGTTGTGATTGCTTTTCTTCTTACTCCTCTTTACAAATTAAAATCGACTTGGCATGAAAACATGTGACCTGCTGCAACAAAGTGTTGTAGTGTAGTCTTGTGTTTACTACTTAATCCTATGGCTGAGGAGGTTGAAAAAAAAAGTTAGCATTAAGGACAAGGGTCCCTGCTCAGGATCTTACTAAAATTTACTTGTGTTAATTTTTCATTTGTTTGAATACTTAAACTTGTGCAAGTCTGTATGTGAGCCTGTGGAATATGAGATTTCTAAATGCAACAAAGCATGGAGTTGGAGGGCACGGTTTAAGCAGTTCCATGTCTAGTCTGAAATAGAGCTGAGGACCACATTGTTGGACTGTTGTAAGCACAGTCCTTTAACCAAGTATTTGGGTATTATAGTAAACGATGCTCCAATATTGCTGTACACAACTTTCTTAGCCCAAGTTGCATTATGGTTGTCAGTCCATCCTATTCCCAGATATAACTTGGTTGTATGTATGCATGTTGTATGTATGTATATATAAATTTTAGAGCTGCTTTTCAGCCTAAGTTGGCTTGTAAGGCAATTTACAATTAAAATTTAAAACATTTATTCACCCACTCCTCTACTTAACATTTCACACATTGGGTTTTTAAGTTGCTGATTTGGTTTTTTTGATTTTTTTTTTTAGTCCAGCTACTGCTTGTTCTTTTCATATTTCTTTGTTCTGCAATCCTTGAAGTTACTCAGGTCTGTTAATCTCTGTGTCTTGTATACCTGGTGGTACAGTTCTGGATATAAAGAGGGATCCATAAAGCAAAATAGTGGGAAGCAGAACAGATAACAGGAAATATTTCTTTACAAAGCACATGGTTAAATTAAGAAATTTTCTACCTAAAAATGCTACACTAATTCTACACTTAATTTTTTAGTGATGGCCACCAATTAAAAGAGGATCAGACAAATTGTAGTTGATCAGACTATCAGTGGCTCATAGTCCTGACAGCTATATGCTACCTCTGGATCAGGCTGTATGTAAGCCTGTTATTTGGTTGGGAAGACGCTGTTGCACTTGCGTGTTTTCCATATGCATCCATCTGAGCATCGTGTGGACAGAATGCTGGCCTAGATAGGTCTTTGGATCCTCTTATGATCTTAGAAACTTGAGAAATGCCAACCACTGTTAGAATATATGATTGCTTCTTTAAGGATAGGCCCTTGGCAAAATGTAGTTATTTTTAAATAGCTTGCTTTAATTTATGGGAAGGATTGCCGCTTTAAGACCCAAGGAAGTGTAGTGTCTTGTAGAGTTGTAGATACTTTTTTTTCATAAGCTCCCTATTCAGTGGAGGTTAACTAAGCTGGAGACTAAACCATTTCTGTTTGAACACTTGTTTAAACAATGTTTATTGAAGGTGCAGCTCCAACGGCTGCCAGGAATTGTAGTAAATTGCGTTCCACATCACTCCATCCTGTACAGACCAGCTGCTGAAAGGGTGCAGCTGAATTGTGCTTGCACACCAGGGAGTAGGTGGGTCCACAATATTGATCACCGAAGGAAGCAGAGGGAATATGTACTGTTCTCTCTGAAGACTATTTTCCTTCCCTTTGCAGGGCTTTTGAGAACTGCAAAGCAGAAAGCGGGAAGGGGATGTGTGGGAGGAATAAAACTGCTTTAAAATGGTGGAAATACAAATGCCAAAAGTGTCACTGTCTTCACCCTGGAGTGTCTAGTTATATTGCTTGAAGATTCACCCCCCCCAAAAAAAAATTTCTGTAATCAGAGCAAATATTGAGCAGAAGCCCATCATCTCTTCTTCCTCGTTGAGCTTTTTCAATGCTTTACATTCAAGAATATTCTGCCATTTATTTTTCCTGGCAGAAAATATTAGTGTCTTGCATGAATGAATGGAATGGTAATGAGAGTTATGTCATTTATTGCTAAGTCTGCTACTTTCATAGAGGATCATAAAAGTAAACAGTAAGGCCAAGATTTTCCATCATGGTTAGTGGTTTCTGAGTGCAATGTTTTGTTTTCGTTCTTCTTCTTTTCAGAAATGCACCTTATAAAAACATTAATCTCATTTTCCTAAAGAAATCTATAGTATCTGTAAACACTGGATGCCTTTTAGAAGATGTAGTTTGTCAGTATTGTTTCTTTCTATGTTTATTTAGTAATGGTAGCAACATTATAGAATGTGGAACTTTTTTTTTGTGTTCCATTATATTGAATCATTCGGTGTGTTGAGTGCCTGTTGGTGGTTTCAGGCAGGGCATGATAGGCTTTGTTTGTTGAGTTCTAGGATAGTGGAAATAGAGCCGAGATGCTCCTTAGCCTACAAGTTCTGTCCGCAGGAGTACATTTCTGCGCTCAGTCAGCTACATTGCAGTCACAGTTGTCATTGCTGAGCAGCACCCCATGCTCCAGCACTCTTTAAGGGTCTCTTGCTAATGCTTGCCCTGCACTCTCTTTCACATTGTTTTCTTCCACCCCTTTGTTCTGAGTGATGCCAGCTGGCTGGCTTTAGCCACCGTTTCAGTTTCTCACAATGCCCTGGAATGATGCTATGTCAGGGACATCGTGCAAAATGTAAAAAGCCAGCAGCTAGTGCATTGGAGAAGCACGCCTCGGGTACAGCTGCTGCCACTGCTACCCACTCCTACCAGGTAAGCCCAGCAAGGCTTCATAGAGCCAGAGTGGCGTAGTGGGTAAGAGGCCAGGACTGGGACTCAGGCAATCTGGATGCCAGTTCCTACTCGGCCCAACCTACCCTCACAGGGTTGTTGTTGTGAGGATTAGATTGAGAGGAGGAAGGGGATTATGTAAGCCACCTTAGTGTTCCTAGAAGGAAAACAGGCAGGGATATATATAATGAATGAATGAATGAATGAATGAATGGAGGGGAGCTGCCAGGAGGCACTTTATCCAGGGCTACCTTGAACCCTTATTCATGTAGTAGTGCAGTTTTTCCTGAACCCAGTTCAGAAAGAAGTTGATTAGCTTCATATCTGATCATTTCCTTGTGTAATATAATCATCCCTTGGAAATACAGCATACAAATAAGATGGATCCTAGCATAGACTTCCCTTTGAATTGCTAGGGTTTCTTTCTTTTTTTCTTTCTGAATTGCAAATAAAGTGTTGATTTTACATGGGGACTGTGGTTTGAAGTCTTAGAGTCCAGGAAGGATTATTCAACTTGATAGATTGGCTTCCAGTTTTTCCTGTATAAGTTGTTATGCATTATATATACACATGAGCAGACTGTCACAAACCCTATATGAGTATCTCTAGATTTTCTAGAGTCTAGAAGTCTAAAACGTCTCTAGACTTTTCTCTAGAGAGAGGCTGTGAATATCTCTAGAGAACTAGGTGACACATTTGGTCATATGTCATCAGTGGCCACGGAGTTGCTGGAGATATTCATGGCTTTTCAAGAGATTGACATTCTTGAGAGATAGTCAAGGCTATCGCTAAAAAACTATGTGGCATCTCTAGGGATCTATGCAACACATTTGGCGATGTGCCATCAGTGACAGCCTAGTTCCCTAGAGGTAGGGTATTCACATCTTTTTGTTCTGCAGCATCAGCTTGAGCATACCCAAAACAGCATGTTTCAGGGCATGTGTAGGATGTAGTTTCCCTTTCGTTTGCCTCCGAATAGGAATATGGTGCTACATTCATTAACCAAACACAGATGGTGGTTAGATGACAAATCCAAGAAAAAGGTGGGCTGCTGCAGGAGAGGCGAGGGCCAGGGCACGGCTGCCGACCAGCACTGGGAAGGTACGGCAGCAGGTGATGGTTGTTGGGGACTCCCAGCTGAGGGGCACTGAGTCAGCGGTGTGCCGCCCCAACCTGGAGACAAGGGAGGTTTGCTGCCTGCCGGGCACACGCATCCGGCATGTGAAGGAGAGAGCGGAGCATCTTGTTTGCTCCGGGGATCACCAGCCGCTCCTGGTGATCCATGTGGGCAGAAACGATGTGGCCAGGCAGGGTGTGGTTGGGGCCACCAGGGACTTTGAGGCCTTGGGGAAGAAACTCAGGGAGCTGAAGGCCCAGGTGGCCTTCTCGTCAATCTTACCTGTCCGGGGATTTGGGCCAGGAAGGGACAGGAGGGCCTCCGAGGTGAACGACTGGATTAGGGTGTGGTGCCAGAAGGAATGTTTCGGGTTCCTCGACCACGGCACTCGTTTTCTTGCCAATGGACTTCTGGAAAGGGACAGGTTACACCTCACGAGGATGGGGAAAAGGTCCTTTGGAAATGTTCTAGTGAGCTTCATCTGGAAGACTTTAAACTGAGCGGGGGGGGGCTCAGGCCCCCCAGTAACATGTCTGCACTGGTCAAGTGTGGGGGGAGGATCAGGACTCTGGGAGCAGGGTTTTAGAGATACTGCAGGGACTGACAGGACTCCTAGAGAGAGGGTCCAGGTATCACGGAGGATGGGAGGAAGGAGGAGGCTGGGAACTCCAAGGAAGGGAAGCGGTGGGAAGGAATTGAGGTGCATGTACACCAATGCTAGGAGCATGGGTAATAAGCAAGAAGAGCTTGAAGCTCTCCTGGGAATAGGGGGGGTATGATCTGGTGGGAATCACAGAAACTTGGTGGGATGAAAGGCAAGTCTGGAATGTGAACATAGAAGGGTATCACCTTTTTAGAAAGGAAAGGAAGGGAAAGAGAGGTGGGGCCGTGGCTTTATACATCAGGGAAGGGATAGGATGCAGTGAGATAGAATGCAGCACAGACAGGGATTCAGTAGAGGCAGTCTGGGTGAAACTTAGGGGTTTTGACAGGGAAAGAGACCTGACAGTGGGGGTATGTTATCACCCTCCAGGTCATCTTGAGACCCTGGATGATGTCCTGACAGGCCAGATTCTAAGGATATCTCGGGGGAGAGACACAGTAATTATGGGGGATTTCAATCTCCCGGATATGGCTTGGGAGACTCACTCAGTGGTGACAGCCATGTCACGTCAC